AAACCTTCAAAAAAAAAAAAAAAAAAAAGCTAATTGAGGTTTATGTATTGCTTTTAATTTATTATGTAACTTTTAACCTGGAACAATCATACCGCTTTTGGTTCATGTCATTGATTTGTTGAAGCATTCAAGCTAATTGTGTTGTCGAATATTCTACATTCTAAATTTGTCTTATTGTTTTTTCAGGGTCATTTAACTTGTTCCTCTATCTTCTTTTATGTAGTTCCTGTAAACTGGAAGTTGGGTCTAGAGGCTTGATTAGATTCAGGTTAAGCAATTTTGTCAAAGATACTTCATAGGTGATGTTTGTGTATATCATATTGCATCATGTTGTATCACATCAGGAGGTCCAGCATGTCAGATTGTCTCACTCTTAGTGAGGCTAATTTTGCTAATTGCCACATCTCACTTATAAAGGCACAGCTTTCCCTTTGTAATTAGTAAGTAACTTGGAGGGAGATTGGCTAATATAATGGTTTTAGCATCCACTGATAATCCTATTGGAATCTGTGATTACATTAGGTATTACAAAATAATGATTTTCTAATTCTATTATGTAATCTTTATTAACTGATGTTCTTTGTTGGAGAAAAGCTTTCCTTTTCTCTGTCTCATTCTCTTATTTATGAGTATTTCTATAGACTCATGGATTTTTAGTTATTCAAAGTGTTAGTTAATTTCAGTTATTAATTTTGATATTCAAATTGTCCCAAATTTGGCCAGTGATTGCCCTTGCAAGCTGGTTCCTGCTGTGTCTTTTTGACAGGACTCCCTTAGTCTTTGGGTGTTTCCTTTCTGGCATAAAAGGTCCTTAGCTCCCTCTGTTCTTGCTCTGCTCTGGGCCTGGGATCAGTTATTTTCTCTAAGGAGCCTTGGTTTTTTTTAACACGAGGTATACTCCTTGTTTCTGGGGTATCATTGCATCTAGGCTCTTTGAGCGCAAGGAAGTAGATTAAAACTTTTTAAAAAGAAATCATTTGTTCATGTTAATGTTTCCAATTTAGATTTAACGTTACAGAGCTTTTTCTGCTTTATATTTGTATCTTTTTTTCTTACATTGTAATTTCCAGATTTTCATAGCATTTTTGTATGTTATTTGCTTTATCTTACAATACATGTAAATTGGTTTCAAAATAATATAACTGTTACCACTAACAGTAAACCTCCATAAACCTGCTGATGGAAATTGAAAGATTTCCTTGTAGTTCCTTTTCCCTTGAATATATCTCACTAAGGATGTATAATCAGAATACAGTTTTCAGAAGTTAGGTGATGGGGGCTGGCCCAGTGGCGCAAGTGGTTAAGTGCGCACGCTCTGCTGCTGCGGCCCGGGGTTCGCCAGTTCAGATCCCGGGTGCGCACCGACCCACCGCTTGGCAAGCCGTGCTGTGGTGGCGTCCGGTATAAAGTGGAGGAAGATGGGCACGGAGGTTAGCCCCGGGCCAGTCTTCCTCAGCAAAAAAAAGAAGAGGATTGGCAGATGTTAGGACAGGGCTGATCTTCCTCACAAAAAAAAAAAAAAGTTAGGTGAAATAATTCCTTTCTCTTATATTCTCAATTTGATACACAGATATGTTCATTTTTTTTTCTGTTAATGTTTGGTTTTAGAGTTTGTCTTTTTTTCCTTTTGGATTTAATTTTATTTTTTGAATCTGTAGTATATTTACACCGTTGAAAAGTCAAAACTACACAAAAAAGGTGTACTTAGAGAAATCTTGGTTCTTTCCCTAACCATTTTCATTATTTTCCGGTTTGTCTTCTTAGTGTTTCTTTTTGTAAAAACAAATAAATGTGTGTATATTCTAATTTCTTCTTCTTTCTTACACAAATACTTTATACACTGTTTCCTACCTTTTCTCAATCAACAGTGGATTCTGGAAATCACTCCATGTCAGTTCATAAAGTGTTTCCTCCCCCTCCCTGCCTTCCCTTCCTTCTTTTGTTTTAATGACTGCATAATACTGCACTGTATGGATGTATAAATGTTCATTCAACCAGTCCCCTGTTAATAGACGTTTAGGTTGTGTCCCATCTTTTAATTAATCCTATCCAAGTGTGTTTTGTATTTCTAGAGTTACATCTTCAAGATAGATCCCCAGAAGTGAGATTTCTGGGTTAAAGAGTAAATGCAAATGTAATTTTCTTAGATGTTGCCAAATTCTCTTCCATAGTGGTTGTATTATTTTACACTTCTGCTAGGACTGTATCAGGGTACTTGTCACAGGATTCTTGACAATATATCAGTAAGTTAAATTCTTGTCTGTTGTTACCACATAGTAATTCTAAACGGTATTTTCTATACAATCATTCTAAAATGTAATTGGGGACTACTTGTAATTTGTAAGAATTTTGGGGGTGGTTTTCGTCAAATATAAATATTACTACAAATATCTATATTTTTGTTTCTGGCTCGTTTAAGTATGTATATGCCATATTTGAATCTTAAAACAGCAACAGTTACAGTGGTGTCTTCTCATAAACAATTTTTCCATCAGATTTGCTGAGATGTCTTTTTGGTGGAAGCTGTGGAATAGGGCATTTTGAGGATCTTTTGTTTTTCCAAAGTAATCTGCCAGTCAAATCATTTTAAGAACTGCTGTCCTGGGGCTGGCCCCGTGGCGTAGCGGTTAAGTGCGCACCCTCCGCTGCTGGCGGCCCGGGTTCGGATCCTGGGCGCGCACCGACGCACCACTTGTCAGGCCATGCTGTGGCGGCCTTCCATATAAAGTGGAGGAAGATGGGCATGGATGTTAGCCCAGGGCCAGTCTTCCTCAGCAAAAAGAGGAGAATTGGCATGGATGTTAGCTCAGGGCTGATCTTCCTCACACACACACACAAAAAAAGAACTGCTGTCCTGTGTCTTGAAAGAATTTTAGATTCTACTAATTATTTGGTCTTGGTTTTCTTTTATATCCTTCCCAGGCTCCTGTTTATATTCGGGAATGTGCCAGATTGCACTATTTGGGATCCAGAAGTCAAGCACCAAAGGTAAAAATAGGAAATTGCCCCTAGCCCAAACAACAGGAGAGTTAATGAAGATTAGTGGGGTTTTGAAACAAAATATGAAATCAAAGTAAAGCCATGGAAAATAAAATGTTTTTAATGTTATAGTTCAAAATTATCTAGTCATTTTGAGATAATGAAAAGGACTGAGAAGATAGTTATATGTTGAAATAAAAATCCTGCTACACACAGTCTTCTTGTCTGCTTTCAGACGTACTCCACTGGTGGATGGTATCCTCTACATATGAGTGATGGCATAGACTGTATGTGAAAAGGTTTTTCATAAAGCCCATATGCATTCTTATAGCATATGATATAAACAAGCAATCTGTAAATAGCAGATGTATTAAATATTTTACAGTAATAAAAGTGTAGTTTTATGTAATACATTCTTATTGCAGGTTCAGTAGTAAGGTAACACTCTATCAAATAGCTAAAAGACTTGAGACCACATGAGCTTAGAAAGCAAATGTATGATGTTTATTAACAAGATTACATGATTATTGAGCTTTAAAAGTGAGAAGTTTAAGAAACTTCACAAGCACTTTTTGATGATTTTTATTTAGTCTGTCTTGGTTAGAAACTTAAGCTTTTGTCTTATGCTATTTTTCCTGCTCCTGTTTGTTTCTGCCTCTCAGTCAGCAAATATTTGGTGTGACCACAAAAACAGTGTTTCATTTCAACTCGTTTAACTGGAGTGTGGGTTTTCTTAGAGAGTTGTTTGTGTTCCTCTGCCACTGCCGTGTAGTTATCACGTCGTGTTGTTGAGTGTGGGAAAGGGCACCAGCCAAGAGCCAGTGCGCTTGGGCTCCAAGATGGCTCTGTCACTTTGGTATCTAGATGACTTTAAACTTATAGCTTAACTTCAATTTTTCTTCTATCAAATGGGAATGGTACTTTCCCTGCTTACTTCATAGCATAGTGGTGAGAATTACACGAGATTATACTCTTATATAAATATAACTTTTGATGGCAATATTCTAAATGAATTTAGGTTCTCTAGGCAGGTCATGGGAGTGGGCTATTAAGATAGTCTGTAATTATAGGTTTCTCTTTATCTGATAATAGTATTTAGAGTTTTCTTGTTCCTGAGTATAAGAATATACCATGTTCCCCACTCCACCCCCTCTTTTTCTTCCAGGGTTGTGGGAATCTGAAAACCAAGCTGGCAGGATATATTAATTCACTTTTCTTTTAAATTTTCTCTAGGATGATCTTGATCTAACAGCTTCATGTCATTCTAAGCCCTTCCAACTAGCAAAATCTCAGAAACGGAACCAGGTAGATTCCTGCTCTCAGCAGGAGGAGACCCAGCAGCGTACGGAAGAGGCACTGAGAGAGCTGTTCCAGCATGTTCACAATATGCCAGAGTCAGCAAAGAAGAAACAGCTTATCAGACAGGTGCCCAAAGGCGGGGAAACAGTGACTGGGCTTTAGGAATGTGATCGTGGTTGTAGAATCACTAGGGAATACTGTTCAGAATCTCATTTGCTTTTTGGCTCTTATTGGCTCAAACTTTGGCTCAGCCAAGAAAGCAAACTTGTCAACAGAACCTCAATGGCGATCTCTGTCCTATTGCCCCACTAGAGAAAGGAGTGGAGGCTCTTGGATTTCTAGAGGTAAACAGAAGGATCCAAGTGTAGTTAGTTTCTCTAATTTGGTCTTGTACCAAGTTTGCTGAGAGAACCAGCAGTTAGAATATATTGCTCCAAAGTTTAAACCCTTTAGATTTTCTTGGCAAATAACTTAATCTTTTTGAATTTCAATTTTATTGTTTGTAAAATGGTCATTGTAATGCGCATGTCTCATGGTTGTAAAGATTAGAGGGACTCTATGTAAAGAGGGTGGCATAGCAGAACACAAGTGGTAGCTCTTAGCGAGTTGTTTGCAGTTAGAAAACACTATAAATCAAGGGCCTGGTCTGATACTAGAAATAGGAATTCTAGTGGCTCAGTTTGTTTATTTTGGAGATATGGCAGCAAAATTAGCTCTTTCATTTGCCATTTTGAAACTCAAAGTGCAGCTTGAGTAAATTCTGATGACTTGGTTAGTTTCTTTCTCAGGAAACTTATTTTGTCTCAGTCTCTCTTGAATTTTAGCTGAGTAGGCAAGGTCAGCCTCTTGACTTCTTATTCAACTGGGACCTTCATGAGGGAGGAGTCTGTTTTTGTTTATTTTTTTATACCTAATTTCAAGCATAGGGCCAGATATAAACAAGCGCACAGAAAATGTTGAACTGAGCTGTTCACAGCAATTGACAAAGTCTTTTAAGAAAAGTTTCTGTCACTCTCTTTGAAGTTACTTTGAGATCTAGCGAGTTGTGCCATGACTGGAATTTTACGGAGTGTCTGAGTATTATTACAGATTCAAAGCAGTGTAGTGATTTAATTCTTGGTAGAAACTAAGATAGCAATTCAGGTAGGACAAGTGTAGTGACTTCTCTCCTCAAGAACACTGAGGGTTAAAGATAATACAAAGGAAAAAACTAACATTATTTTTGCTCTTTTTAGAAAAATAGGAAATTATAGAGAAGGATAAGAAGAAAATAAATCACTCATCCCACCAGTGTTTACATTTTGGGTATTTCTTTCAGTCTTTTTCTCGTGGATATATTTTTACGTAGTAACGATCATACCATATACTTTCTTTTATCTCTCCCCTTTTCACTAAACATTATAGCATAAGCATTTTCTCATGCATGCTTGCAAACTCCTTGCATACATTTAAAATACTGCCATTTCTTTTTGAAGAAACTATAATTTTCTATTTCCTAATTGTTTCTCTGTGATTATAAAAATAATGAATACTAAGAAACATTGAAACCTCTAGAAGAGTGTAAAGAAGGAAATAAAAATCACCTATAATCATCCAGAGATAACCACTGATAACATTTTGGAGTATTTCCTTCTAGTATTTCTTTCCATGAATATGTATTTCACATTTTAATCTTTTGCTTAATTGAGATCATAATATATGTTCAGTTTTTTATATCCTCCCCTTTTCATTTAACATTATATTATGAACATTTTCCCTGTCATTAAAAGGCTATAAACGTTTTTAATGGTTGTGTAATATTTCATCATTTATAACCTAATGTATATACAGTTTGCCTTCTACTGGACATATTGGGGAAATTAAGTCTTTTTTTAGTTTATACATTTTTGTTCAGAAGTATCTTTATTGCAGATTATTTCCTAGAAGTGGCATGATCAAAGAATATGCATCTTTTTTTTTTTTTTTGGTTGATACATCTACCAGATCCCTTTTAGTGTATAGGTCCCTCCTTCTATCCTCTCCTTCTCCCTCTCAAAAAAAATTGCCATGGTTTGTTTGTTTGAATAAACTTTTAAACTTGAACTAATTTAGATTTAGAGAAAAATTGCAAAGGTGGTGCAGAGAATTATTCCCACATATCCTTCACTCAGTTCCTCCTAATGTTAACATCATCAAAACTAAGAACTTAATATTGGCACAATACTATTAATGTTACAGGTTTTATTCAGATTTTGCCAGTTTTTCCACTAATATCCTTTTTATATTTTAAGATCCAATCCAGAATACCACATTGCATTTACACACCCATACACACATTCTCTCTCTCCCCCTTGCTCTTTTTCTGCACTTTATTTGTGAAAGAAACCAGATTGTCTCCCGCAGTCTAGATTTTGCTGTTTGCATCCCTGTGGTATTATTTAAGATGTTCCTCAGTCCTCTGTATTTCCTATAAACTCATAGTTAGATCTCATTCGAGAAGCTTGATCTGATTCCAATTCGATTTTTTTTTGGTGTGCACTATTTAATTTAATTAACCCTCAGCCTAATTGAATAAATTTTGACTTCTTTTTGGCAGCATGATTTCTGCCTTTGTGATTTGCTTGCCAACCTGCTAATCCATATATGTACAGACTCGCTTATTCTTGGACTTTTTTGGGTATTTACACTTAGCTATTGGTTGTCACAGAATGCTATCTCCTGATGGGAGAATATTAACAAAATGTTCTTTATGCTTTCTTTTAGTTTAATAAACAATCTGTGACCCAGACACCACGGCAGGAACCTTATACTCCCCGGGCACAGAAGAGGGCCCGTTCACGTTCCTTCAGTGGCCTTATTAAGGTGGGTATGCTGTGCTGTCGTTTTCAGCATTGGCTGTGAGAATATTTAACAGTTTGACTTTTCTTATGCATAAACAGTTTTCTTCACTCTTTGGGATCCTATAAAGGGTTCATTTTTCAGGTGATAAGGATAGAATTTAGAAAAGCTTTTATTTTGCAAGGCATTTTGTTGTGTTTTAAATCAGAGAAGGGGCTCTACGATTGGAGAAGTAAGGAGTAAAAGAAATAAAGGTCCTTCGTTCTTTTCTGGGGGCTGAGGACAGAGTCCTCATTCCTGAGCAGTGTAGAGAGTCTGTTTTGCTTCACAACCTGCTTTGTGCTACACACTTCATTTTGCAATTTACTATAAAGTTATGGAGAAGTGAGAAAGTTGACGGAAACTAGGGAAATTGTTAGAAAATGGATTTTCTAATGGGCTAATGAGTTTTAGGTATCTCAAATTTTTGTGAGCTTAATATTTTGATCAGTTGTTGTATTCTCTTCCTTTGTATCAAATTGATTAAAAATCTTGTTTTTAAAATACATACAATATATACTTCTGTGCTGTTGCTGCCATCACTGTTTGCAGATTCAATTTACCAGTCTTCATGGATGATCTGAACTTGTAGTTAAGGGATATAGCCATCGGGTGGCAGTAGATAACTTGATTATGAGGTTCAAATTTCCAGGCATAAATAAATGAAGGCAAGGTTCCCGTTAATCTGGAGAGAGATTACCACTATTCTGTGTTCTACTGTTTTTCTTTTTAAAATTGTTTTAAAATTATTAAAATCTATAAATCCAGCAACATTAAGGAGCTCTTTGCTTAAAATTAAAAATTATGCCCTAAAGAAAATTACCTGTAATATATATATTTTTTCTTTAAGCTGCAGTTATTAGCAGTTGCAACTTCATATCACTCTAATTTGGGTCCTGGTTATTATCATTAATAGAAGTTTAAAGTTCACTCTCAATCCTGATCCAGTGGGGCCAGTAGCCTCTGGGACATTGGGTTTGCTTGACATCAAAATTTCCTTTGCTATCAATAGAGTGAAAAGGCAACCCACAGAATGGGAGAAAATATTTTTAAAACATATATCTGATAAGAAGTTAATATCCATAATATAAAAAGAACTCTTACAACAACAGCAGAAGAAACAACCTGATTAAAAAATGGGCAAAGGTCTTAAATAGACATTTCTCTGAAGAAAATATACAATTGGCCAATAAGCACATATAAAGATACTCAGTGTCACTTATCATTAGGGAAATGCAAATTAAAACCACAATGAGATACCAATTCACACCCACTAGGATGGCTATTATCGAAAGAACGGAAAATAACAACAGTTGGTGAGGATATGGAGAAATTGGAACTCTTGTGAACTGTTGGTGGGAATGTAAAATGTTGTAACCGCTATGAAAAACAGTACGATGGTTCCTCAAAAAATTAAAAATAGATACTATATGATCCAGCAATTCTACCACTGGGTGTACACCCAAAAAAATCGAAAGCAAGGACGCGAACAGATATTTGTACGCCCATATTGGTAGCGGCATTATTTACAATAGCCAAAAGGTAGAAGCTACCCAAGTGTTCATTGCTGGATGAATGGATAAACAAAATGTAGTGTGTGTGTGTATATATATATATATTTACATACACAATGGAATATTATCCAGCCTTAAAAAGGAAAGAACTTCTGATACACGCTGCAACATGGATGAAATTTCAAAATATTATGCTAGTGAAATAAGCCAGACGCAAAAAAACAAATATTTATGATTCCACTCTAGAGACTACTCTGGATACCTAGAGTAGTCAAATTCATAGAGACAGAAAGTAGAATAGTGGTTGTCAGGGACTAGGGGTATATGGGGAATTGGGAGTTATTGTTGAATGGGTACAGAGTTTCTGTTTGGGAAGATGAAAAAGTTCTGGAGATGGATGGTGCTGATGGTTGCACAATGGTGTGACTGTATTTATGCCACTGAACCATATGCTTAGAAATGGTTAAAATGGTCAATTTTATGTTCTGTATATTTTACCACAATTAAAAAAATTGTCTTGTTAGAACCCTAGAAGTGCATTCACTGCTTAGATGTGGCAAGTAAAATGGATATCCTTGGTTCATTTTACTTGGAAGTCTGTCATTCCCTCTGACTTTCCTGTCATAGAGATAATTGATAATAAGAAAAGTTATAGTCAAATAAGTGTTTCTCTATGTCTTGGACAAATATTTCTTTAACTGAAGTTAGATGGGTATAGTTTTCTCTTCGTAGTGAGCTCTTCTGCAGTTGATTCTAGACATATTGCTAATTGTTGCTTGAAATGTAAATATATAGTATCCTCTTGGCAGCTGCCCACTTCTTTACTGAGAGAGAATTTAGAACTTTAGAATTATAAAAGAACTTATAATTCTATCAGGATAGAACATTTTAGAACAACAATTTTTAAACATAAATGTTGGCAACTTTTATAAAACAGAAGGGTAAAGTGTTTCCATTATAAATGAAGAGACTTTTGAGCTAAAATAGATGTAGGTTTCTGCTCACATAGCAGTGGAGTAATGAAATGTCTTTGAACAAGTTCATTGGAAGCTCTATAGCCAGTCCTGTGGCTCCTGGCATCCTCAATTCAGCTTACTCTGAGCTGATATCTGATTTCTGAATGGAAGATGTACTGCTCTTATTTTTCCAGCATTTCTGTGCTTTAGTGATTTGATTTCTATCCTGCTTTGATCCCTTTTTTTGGCTAGACTTTTTACTTCAAAAATTCCTCTCATGGGGGCCGGCCCCGTGGTGTAGCAGTTAAGTGCGCACACTCTGCTGCTGGCGGCCCGGGTTCAGATCCTGGGTGCGCACTGACGCACCACTTGTCAGGCTATGCTGTTACGGCGTCCCATATAAAGTGGAGGAAGATGGGCATGGATGTTAGCCCAGAGCCAGTCTTCCTCAGCAAAAAAAAAAAAAGATTGGCATGGATGTGAGCTCAGGGCTGATCTTCCTCAAAAAAAAAAATGCCTCTCATGTAAATAATTTATTACATCAGAATATTTTGAATGTTGTTGCTAATATTTATATTGTAGAGTTTAATGTTCTAGTTTGTTTTTTTTAAATATTTATTTAGTTAGTTAGTATGTGTTTATATGAGGAAGATCAGCCCTGAGCTAACATCCATGCCAATCCTCCTCTTTTTGCTGAGGAAGACTGGCCCTGACAGAACATCTGTACCCATCTTCCTCTACTTTATATGGGATGCCACCACAGCATGGCCTGACAAGCGGTGGGTCGGTGCGTGCCCGAGATCCGAACCTGGGCTGCCAGCAGCAGAGCTTGCGCACTTAACTGCTAAGCCATGGGGCCGGCCCCAGTGTTCTAGTTTTGATAATGTTTTTTTTTTTGGAATTCAAATTTATTCTCTAAGGAGAAAAAAGACAAGATTCTCCAAAGATGGTAGAATTGTCACTATCAGCTATTATAGTAGGTTACATCAGCTTCTAAGCTGTTAAGAGAGGAAAGAGCTTTTATTTTTATTTATTTTTTTATTTTTTTTTGTGAGGAAGATCAGCCCTGAGCTAACATCCGTGCTAATCCTCCTCTTTTTGCTGAGGAAAACCGGCACTGAGCTAACATCTATTGCTAATTCTCCTCCTTTTTTTTCCCCCAAAGCCCCAGTAGATAGTTGTATGTCATAGTTGCACATCTTTCTAGTTGCTGTATGCGGGACGTGGCTTCAGCATGGCCGGAGAAGCGGTGCGTCAGTGCGTGCCCAGGATCCGAACCCAGGCCACCAGTAGCAGAGCAGGCGCACTTAACCACTAAGCCACAGGGCCGGCCCTGAAAGGGCTTTTAGTCTTGCTCTGAATGTCAGTATAGTCATGTGACCCTCTTAAGAAGGCCTCTGCCCTCTTGTGGCTATGTTAGAAATTCTTAGAGAATTTATCCAAATTTTGCAATCCTGTGTGAGGAAATGATTGGAAGCAAAGTCTTAAAGTGGACCCAGTGTAAGTATCTCTTGGTGAGGAGGGGAGGAGGGGACTCATAAGAGCTGCCAGAGACAACATGTCTTTGGGGGAGAAATTATACTGGTAAGTAGCTGGCATTTCTTTTATGGTCTCAGAATCACACTGTAATTGGCCTGTGTTAGCTAGTTTGTATCAACTATACAGCTGCTTCTAACATTTCAGCCCTTTTCTTTTTTTTTTTTTATTTTTTTATTTTTTGGTGAGGAAGATTAGCCCTGAGCTAACATCTGTGCCAATCTTCCTCTATTTTGTTTATGGGACACCGCCACAGTATGGCTTGATGAGCGGTATGTAGGTCCATGCCTGGGATCTGAACCCACAAACCCTGGGCTGCCGAAGCAGAGCACGTGAACTTAATCACTACGTCTCCAGGCCAGCCCCCCACAGCCATTTTAAATGTAGAGGAAAAGTGGTCACCTAAAGAAAGGCAATGATTTTAGGTTTTTTTGGTAACATGCTTTGGCCTCTATTGTATAGGATGGCCTGGGAGAATTTCTCAGAAAGCTGAGATTTTTTTTTTAACCCAAGCAACTGTAGTTTTGAAGGCCAGTATAGCTATAATATAGATATAGTAGATGTTTATAAATCAAATATTTTCTCTTCCTAAACCAGCGGAAGGTACTGGGAAATCAGATGATGTTGGAAAAGAAAAACAAGTTCGATACTCCGGAATCTCTAGTCATCGGTGAATTGAAGAGAACCAGCAAAGAAAATATGAACTTAGTAAGATACTGTTCTTTGCACTTTCTCTTTGTATGTGTACATTTGTAGAAAGGAGAAAAATTGTTATACTAGCATCTGTTTTATTGTATTTCTCTGGGCCATTCAACTATGCCTTTTCCTTAATTAATCTTTTCATTTATGCTGACTGTTTTCTTTCTGTAGGTTTTTGTTGATTCAGTCAACAAACACATTTTGAGCTCAAGGAGGATATAGCCAGTCATAAGCAGAGATGACAAACACAGTGAAATAGCTCCACAAACAAAGTGCTGGAAGGAGTAGTTCTGACTGGGAGACCCCACAGGGCAGGTAACATTTGAGCCAGGCCTGCCTGGCCCTGCATTACCTGTGGAGTCATCCTTCAGGATGTCCCAGGAGTGGTTACTTTATTAAGCCAGCAATGAAGTCAGTGAAGATTAATGAAATACAGATATATCAGTAAAACTCTTCCCATTGAGATTGAACAAGTAAATAATTCCTCTTCTAGTAAAGTCTGTCTGTGGGAACAACATTAGAACGTTTAAGCCACTATAAAATTTTCTTGTTACAGTTATATTCTGGCTCTCCAGCTGTCACAGTGACACCAACAAGATTGAAATGGTCTGAGGGGAAGAAAGAGGGGAAAAAAGGTACAAATGGTATTTACTCTGTGTTCTTCCTGAATGTAGTTCCTTTCTGCATCTAGTCAGTCAGGAGCAGTTTTTGCAATTGCCAGTGCAGTATGGTTGTGGTCAGAAGCGACATGCAAACGACAAGGCTGGGTCCTTGCCCTTGAGTTGATTTCGCAGGTAGTTATTAAACATCTACTCTGCCCTGTCCCAGGTGCTGAGGGGCAGAGCTGTGAACACGGACCCAGACGGTCCCTGCATTCTTGGACAGGCGGAGCACATGTGAAAAATACCTTGAGAATACTTGTTAAGCAAATTAAAAGCAAGTGTAAACAAATTTGTGAAACCAGGTACAGAAGGGCTGAGAATACGCTTGGTAAACGTGGAATAGTTATGTTCCTTTTCTGCGTAGATTTGGCTTTGTTTATTCAGTAAAGCTTTCCAGATAAACAGCTCATGCTGGAGGACCCTGGAAATCATCTCATACAACAAGTTTTTGAGGAAATTTAGGACAAAAAGGATTATTTAGTGCTGGGACTGCTGGTTGCCTCAGGCTCTTCTGGTCAAAGGCAGTGGCTGCTGGCTTTTCTCTGAAGAAGTGTTTGGTTCACGGGGAAGACCAGAGGGTTTGTGGTTAGACCTGATTTGAGTCATCATTCCTTTGGCCCGGGCAAACCGTCCATTCTCTCTGAGCCCAAGTTTTCTCCTCTGAAATGGAGGATGATAGTTATATCTACTTGACAGATTTCTTATGAGGCTCAATTGAAATAATGTTTTGGAAGCACGTTGTGATTGTTAAAGCATTGACAAGTAGTCATAATTGTTCTAAAGAGAACTGGATGAGATGTGGTCTTGTTTTATGAGGCTTACGTGCAGGTGAACTGGTCTCTGGTTTGACATACTCATTTCACCACTGAGACATGGGCATGATTACTTTGTGAGACATCAGCAATAGAAAGAGAACAAAGCCCAATCCTTATGGATAAATCTTGATTCTTTTCTAGAAAATTAGATTTCAGTATGGTCTCCTTACTTATCCCTGAATGAATTTATCTGAACTCTCTTTTCTTTCCACCTTGCTTCTGACTTCTGGGCTGGGCTGTCTGATTGAGGTGAGTTTGGTGTTTGAGTTATGTGTGTCTAAATATTTCTGCCTATCTATCCATAAGTCAAAACCAAGCATAAGTTGCATAAGTTATTTTTGAAGGACACATTGTTTTTTATCAATTACACCTTTTGTCACTTTCATATTTGAAGATAATCAAGAAATAATGTCTTTTTATATTGACAACTCTACTTTCGGAAGAAAGAAATGCATTAAAAAAATAAGCCAGTTTAATATTTTACCAGGAAATTTTAGATCAGGAATTCTTAACCCATTTTTTTTTTTTTTTAATTTATTTTTCCTGCAAAGCCCCAGTAGATAGTTGTATGTCATAGCTGCACATCCTTCTAGTTGCTGTATGTGGGACCCGGCCTCAGCATGGCCGGAGAAGCGGTGCGCCGGTACATGCCCGGGATCAGAACCTGGGCCGCCAGCAGCGGAGCGCGCGCACTTAACTGCTAAGCCACGCGGCCGGCCCTAGAGCAGGACTTCTTGACCTGTTACCTGTGGACTTCCTAAGGGCAATAATAAAGATCCTGGTATTGTTGATGTAATTTTATGTGTAGGTGCATATATGCATTTTTCTTTTTTTTTTTTGAGGAAGATCAGCCCTGAGCTAACATCCATGCCTATCTTCCTCCACTTTATATGGGACACCGCCACAGCATGGCTCAACAAGTGGTGCGTCGGTGCGCGCCCGGGGTCCAAACCCGAAAACCCGGGGCTGCCAAAGCAGAGTGCGCACACTTAACCACTTGCGTCACCGGGCTGGCCCGTATATGCATTTTTATGGAAGAGAGAATATATAGTTTTTATTAGATTCTCAAAAATGTTAGTGATTTAGAAAAGTGGAGACCCACACAGATAATGAATGACCTTCCACTGGGTTAGGCGATGGCATTTTCACTTTACTCTCTCCCTGGTCACTTCTTCTACCTTGAGCCGCCTTCCTTGGCTGCCATGATGTCCCACTGTTCTTGTGCTCCTCCTTCCTCTTTAGTGGTTTTCCGTCTCTGCAGTGGTTTACTGTCATCTGGCCACCTCTCCACCTCTTCCTGTCTTTCTGCGCTCTAGCTTAAGTTCTCTGCTCATCTCTGCTCTTGCTTTCCCCCACTTAGCAGCTTGGTCTCCTTCTACAGCTCAGTTCTGCTCTCTGTACCATAACTGCTCCCAAGTCTGCATCTCCAGATCTGAACCCTCTTTAGTCTCCAAGCCCACAGATCCAATTCCCGCCATCTATTTCTTTTATAAAATGAGTACAACCCTAGATTTTTTTTTTTTTTTTTTTTTTTTTTTTTCCGAGGAACATCAGCCCTGAGCTAACATCCCTGCCAATCCTCCTCTTTTTGCTGAGGAACACCAGCCCTAAGCTAACATCTATTGCCAATCCTCCTCCTTTTTTTTTTTTTTCCCTTTTTCTCCCCAAAGCCCCAGTAGATAGTTGTATGTCATACTTGCACATCCTTCTAGTTGCTGTATGTGGGATGCTGCCTCAGCATGGCCGGTCAAGCAGTGCGTTGGTGCATGCCTGGGATCCGAACCCGGGCCGCCAGTAGCAGAGCGCTTGCACTTAACTGCCAAGCCACGGGGCCGGCCCCCTAGATTTTTTTTATGTGATTTTATAAAAGGAACAAGTATTTTTTGAAGACAATAATGGAATTTTATTACCGTCATCATCAATAGTATACACCAAAAAGACATTTATTTAGCACAGGGTTTCTCAGCCTGGCACTATTGACCTTTGGGGTCAGATAATTCTTTGTTGTGGGGGCTGTCCTGTGCATTGTACAATGTTTAGCAGGATCCCCGGTCTCTACCAACCTGATGGCTGTAGCACCCTTCCCCGAGTTGTGACGACCAAAAATGCCTCCAGACATTGCCAGGAGTTCCCTGGGGAGGAGAGGCACAATCACCCCCAGATGAGAACTGCTGATTTAGCACCTACTTATTAAAGGGTGTTATTTTCAGCAATCAGAATCTTACCCATTCTTCAAAGCCCCACCCAAACCCCACCTCCTCTCTGAAACCTTCTTTGGCTAACCCAGCCAGATAGACTTTTTCCGTTGAACTCTTATTAACGCTACTAAAATGTTGGCATTTAGTATGATTTATTGTAGTTATTCACTTCACATGTATTGTCTTATCTCTGTAGCTAGTTTCTCTTCTGGAAGACATGGGCCAGACTTGAGAATATATTGGTGGCCTCCTGTCTTCTGTTCTTCTCTTCCTCCCGATAATGACAGTTCCTTTGCATCTAGTAGGCATTTAGTAAACATTCGTTGGTGAGAGGCGTAGTGGTAGCAAGAACATGGCTCTGCGTTCAGTTAGGCTTGGGTTTGGTTCTCAGCTTTGCTGCTTAATAGCTGTGTGTCTTGGGGCAAGTTAACTTGTGTAGGCTTCAGATTCTTCGCCTGTAAAATGGCAAGAGCATTACCTCATGCACAGGTTGTTGTGAGGATAAATGAGAGAATGTACATAAAGAATTTAGAGAGTGCCTGGCACAAAATATGCACTTTACGTAAAGTGGTAGCTATTATTGCCATTAGGATGATTTAATGAACTGAGATTAGACCAAATGGACCAAGTATGTTTACTTGGTGGAGAGTCATAAATTCTCAAACTCTTTAACCCTCAGTTTGTAGAAAATATTAAGTATAGATTCTCTAGCTTTTAGGTGGGATGTTTGCAAAAAGAAATATTTATAAACATGCTTAATGCTCTTGTTTCTCTTTCAACCTAGGATTCCTCTGAAGGATCCAGAGTTCTCCAATTGTCCACCCGGAATTTTCTCTTTTGTGGGCCAGGTGTCATTTCTGCTCACAGAGAAGCTTGGACTTGGAGCTCGCTTGCTGCATTTTGAATTATGCAAGTCAACTAATCCTCTGACCTGGCTGATACCTCTAACCCTGCTCACTGGATGGTGTCTGCAGGCTCTGCCTTCTGAACCAGTGCTGGCAAATCTGCCTCTCACGTGCTTTTTTGTTAATATTGTGGGGAAACCACTAACCAGCCAACCAGCTTACATAGCACAGTAAATGGGCAGAACCAGGTAGACTCCAGTGCTCATTCCATGTGTTTGTTTAGGCACATTCTACTTTTTAAAAATATGAAATCTGTGCTCAACTGCCAGTGATTTTTAAAAAATACTATCAATCCTAGGAGATTGATGTTATTTTTAACTGATATTTTGGGCTTTTCTCTGTTTTGATAGTGTCAGGGGGTATTTTGGTTATTGTTTCTTGTCTATTTGTTGTTTGTTAATTTTTTCGTTAAAAGCCATTTTTTTGGATAGGTAATATAAATGGACTCTAAGCCAGGTGTCTTTCCCTTCTTGTTTACTTTAAGCTTTTATCTCATGAGGCTGTATTCCTTAATACCTTATTTGTGTCCAAAGAATTTATAGCTTTCCTGGAAATGTTTTATGTCTTGGGCCTGAGATCGCAGGGTATTTGGCCTGCAGTATTGAAAAAGGAGAATTCAGAATGATACAATATTTTAACAAATGGCAGTTATTAAACTGTGTTCCTCCCTCCCCACCCCCCTTCCCTTTCTTCAGTGATGCCAAAATAATTGTGTGGTTGCTGAACTTGTTTCCTTCATTCAGTTTCCTCACACCTAAAACATCTCTGGTGCCAAAACTTCTGTGGCAAATTACTGTGACTCAAGGAAAGTCACTGACAGCTTAATAGAGGTTTGCTGAAATATCTGTATGTAGTGGAAGCTCTGGAGTGTGACTAGGATGGGGCTGGCGGGCTTTATGTCCAGGACGACTCCTTATGGGTGGGATTATATTGCATCCTTCTAAGGGATCAGGTGTGCAGGCTGGACCATCTCCTGAGAGCAAGCTGGAGTCAGAGGAAGGAAGTGAGCATCAGTCTCTGCGTGGCTGAGAGGATTTAAAGGAGAGAATTTTCTCATTTGGAAGCAGCTGTGGCTTATCACCAATGTTCAAGGAGCGGTTGCTGCACTGTCCCTCTCCTTGTCAGAATGGGAACGGCGAGTAGTTGGAGATGGGGCTGGAGCTTTGACTGGGGTGCAGATGTTCACATATGTTTGGGGTGAGCAATGGCATGGCTTTGATCTAGTGTAAATACTCACTGCCCACACAGCGGCGTGTGGCAGGCAAGAATCTTTGGTTTGTGTCTTCTCTAGTAAGCTGTGTAACTGCTCTCACCTGTGTGCTGGAGCTGAGTCAGACCTCTGTGGGGAAGCAGTTGCCCAGCAAAGTATGGTGGGCTGGCCTATTTTTAAACTATTGAAAATGCTGCATTATTCTGAAACGAAAGATAACACTGGGGGAGCAGATTTGGTTTTGTGTCTGGGTGTTAGTCTTCTCTTCCATACTGTTTTGCTGCTGTAACAGCAGTAGTGAAAAAAAGAGTAAAATTTGGCCTTCCAACTTAGACTGTGAACAATAGATGATTAGGGATATGAAACTGCTTAGCCCATTTCTCTAGAGCAGTTTTGTGTCATTCTTAAAAATACTTATTAGCAAATCGTTTGTGTAGCTTTCTATTTGACTTTTTTTTCTTACTGAGAGAAAATAAAATTCCTTGCACCAGCCATCAGTGAATTCAAACAGAAACCCCTTTTGGTATGAGCGGACTAAAGTCGGGTTCTCCCTTCACTCCGTACTTCCTTTCTTTGTTCGTCTTAAGTGTTTCATCCGGAGTGGTGTGGTCTGTTAACATGTTAAACATGGCATCAGGTAGAGAGCAGAGCAGTGACCTGATGCCCCTTGTTGTTGTTCTGTGATTCTATTTGAGGGAGGTGGTTGAGATTGAGGAGCCTGTCTTGGCTGAGTGGAATTGGTAAGGCAGGGTAGTGTTCTGGGCTAGGGTGGTGAGAGAGATGTCTGTCACATGCACATGCTTTCATATGTCTCGCCTCCTGGGGCAGTGTATGTGTGTATTTGAGTATGTGTGTTTCAGTTATTTATTAAATATGCTTTCCCTTGCTTTAAGGGTATGATAGATCATTTTTTTATAGAAGCTGTGATCCAGTTGGAATCCAAATTTGAGAAATTAACAGCATAACCTTCTGCCTTGTAATATGTAACTGTTCTAATCCTGTGGAATCTTATGGAGACCTGAAAGACAAAAACCCTGTATCATTTGCCACAGAAGGTTACTGTCTCCCTTCTGACTTGATGGGTGGGTATTTTTGAGCCAGTATTTAACAACTGTTTTAATCTATAAAATGTTTTTTTAATCTGTTTTGTTATGTTTATTTTTCATGTTGGAGCAATCTCTCTGGAAATGCCTCTTCTTGTGGCTTTTAAAACTTCATTTCTTTCTGGGGTCAGTTGCGATGGGTTTTGATGTGGTGTCAATATGGGGCAGTGTATTTGTGCCAGAGGCACGAACAAAAAAATGCAGACCACCTACTTGATTCAGATCTGCACTGGGTAAGCTACACTGGTTGAATCAGTGAAAACCGTAGGCACTGGAATTTCTTACCTTTTATAGTGATGGACCAATGAATTTCGTTTGAAAAACTCCACTGCAGCAGTGAAAGAGGATCGGGAGACACTGATTGTACATGAGTGCCAAAACATATTAAAGGAGCTGGTACTTACTGAGTCATAACTGAAACCACAATTGATCTCCACAAGCTCTTTACCCTGAATGTCCATCCAGAATCAGTCAGGAATGACAAGGGAGCGCCTCGGGAAATGGAGTGGTGCAGGGCTGTTGACTGTGGTGACCGCTAGGTGATCCAGAGGTTGCTGTTTTGTTGGCCTCTAAGGAAGCCAGTTGATCCCAGAGTGTCAGAGCAGAGCCCTTCTCTCCTCCTGAATAGCAATGTGTCTGTTCAGCTTCCCTCATGGGAACCTATATTAGGATACAGTTTAAAATACTGCCTTCTAGGAACCTGTGACCATGGGGACTGTGCCACCTGGTGACTAGCTCCTTGGCCATGCATAACTGGGGAAGCCATCTTTGGGAACAGACTTCTCTAGGCTCTCTCTGCTTCCTTACTTCGTACAGTGCCTTGCACAGATGCTTCAAGCTGACAGCTCTCATTCTGAGGTCTTTATTTCTAAGTAGAACTCCTTTCCGTGGGAGAGAGCCTCATCCCTGCCCTCCTCTACCCTGAAGCCTTTGTACTGAAGCCAGGACCTCGATCCAAACCTGGATACCAGCATTTGGCAGGATTGCCCTAAAATCTGGGGAAGATTTGAGTTCCTAAGATGCACAAGCTTTTCAAACCAGTGGTAATTAACCTAATCTAAAACTCAATATAGAAAAGCTGGCTTTCCTAGACAGCTAACGCTGAGATCTTGCCGCCAGTGGAGAGTGGATGGAGGGGCTAGTGAGGAGGTGGAGTACATAATAGCCTGAGTGCTTGGTTACCATGGAAACTGGAGTGTGTGAGGCCACAGCCAGTGCTAAAGAGCCATGGAGCACTCCCCCAGACGTGTTTGGGACCCACAGAACCTGTTGGGAAAAACAGTCCCACCCCAGGTCCTTTCTTCATAGCAAGGGTGCCTTTGCACTATCCCTGAACTCGCTCAACTAGAGAAACAGAGTTTCTTAACTATTTCACCATTTTTAATTTTTCATTCTTATTTGACTATATTTCCTATATATATGTAACTGTAAAGAAACAATTATATGTGTTGTCTTTCTTTTATATTCACGTAATATTCTGAAATTAAATATCTTTTGTTTTATATCCATAGGCTTTGACTGGTCTGTTAATTCACATTTTGACTGATGGATTATTTTAAAGAGAAGTTGCTTCTTTTTTAAAAAAATTTTTTCCCTGTTTTATTGAGATATTATTGACAGAGGTTGCCTCTTGTTCTGTGGAATATGAAACCTCTAAGAGAAGCGCCTCTTTGGCTTGTTTTCCAGTGGGTGGGTGGGTTCAGGGGGAGTGGGGCTTTTAGCTGATAGGAAATGGGATTGGCATCTCCGGGAATTCTGAGCTTGATTCCCCGAGGCTGAGTCTAGAATGCTTTGCACAGATTTCAGTTTCTCACATTATCTTTATTTCCTCGTTTAAAAATAGCAATAGTTATAGTAACAGTAAAAACCAAATGACGTTTTCATCTAGGGCAGCAAGTTGTAGAGCTGAGACAACTCTGGTTGAAATGTTTCCACCACTTAACTGTGCATGTGACTTTGGGTATGTCCCTTCATCTGTAGGGTGGGGATAATTATGTCTTGTTTCAATAATGCCATGCTGTCAGATGTAAGGGTTTAGCACGAGAGGTTTTAGTCTGGGGTCTGTGCTTGTGCTTCAGGACGTCATTTGCCCCTGTAATTCTGTGTACTTGTGTGTACGTTTGAATTTTTCTAAGGGAGAGATTTCATAGCTTCCACAAGAATCCCAGAGGAGTCCTTGACCACTAAAATACTGAGAACCACTAGGCTTGCACAGTGCCTGGCAGATGGCAAGTATTCATTAGATGTTAATTTTCTCTCTCTTTCCCTGCCAAGAATAAATTCTTTAATCAGCAGGTTATTGATGCTGACATAGTTATTTTTGATAACAAAGGGGTTACTTAAATCCGGAGTGGACATAAAAACTCTGCAGCCGTCTTTACTCCGTTAACTGCCCACATGCTCTAGCTCCTTAGGTGCTGCTCAGAACTGTCCCTCTCTGCTCATCCCCCAAGGACCAACTTGCATTATTTACTCTCAAGAAAGGAGCTGGGTCTGTTTCTTGGAAGTGAAGCATGGAGAGACTCTTTTGGATAGTACACGGGAAACTGAGTCATGCAGAGGAACAGAAAACGGGTGGAGGGGCGAGAGTTATTTTGAGAAATAGGATCAAAATGCCTAGTATAGTGCTGAGCACATGATCGTTAATTGAATCATCGAAAGGGAAGAAGAAGCAGGCATACATTAAACGGCAGAAAGGAAGGATGGGAAGACTGGGGAAGAGTTTTCCTTACTCTCCCCTTCCTCCTGGGCCAGTTCTGTGGCCTTTGTCCCCTGTGGTGGGTGGCCCACTTTTTGCTCCTACCTACGTTCCTGAGTTAGAAGCATACGGGGATGGGAATGTGAAGAAGCCTGAACCCCACGCTAGAGGGTCATGGTGTGGAGTACAGCATGCTTGTTTAGATGCTTGTTTTAAGTCCCAGCCTCTTGATTTCTCCATAAAAAGCAAAAACAAAAAACAAAAGTTGGGGTTGAGCAATGGCCAAGTCTTGATCCAAGTTGACCATTAGTATCTTAGCCTTTATCATCAGCAGCCAGCTCAGATCCTGAGAGTCTTCCACCTGGATGGAGGTCAGCAGGAGGGGCCACCGGTGTCATTGCTGGCTTTCGCCTTTTATTCCCAGATATCAGCCTTTTAAAATTTTCAGTGTCTTGGTACCGAGGACTGCTTAGTTCGGTTGAACCATACCTGTGGGCAACAGAGAAAAGAAACAGACCGTCTAAAAACTGTGAGCTCAGAAGCCGTTCCTCAAAACCAATGTACAGAAGTGGGGGTTGCTTTTAAGAGCTCCTCCTGCCCAGGTACTTCCCAATTTTCCAACATTGGAGGAAGAGTATGGTAGAGCCTCTAAGGAGTTCAAGTCTCCTGTTAATGGAAAATTAAAGATTTTATTTATTTATTTATTTTCCCCCCAAAGCCCCAATAGATAGTTGTATGTCATAGCTGCACATCCTTCTAGTTGCCGTATGTGGGACGCGGCCTCAGCATGGCCGGAGAAGCGGTGCGTCGGTGCGCGCCCAGGATCCGAACCCGGGCCGCCAGCAGCGGAGCGCGCGCACTTAACCGCTAAGCCACAGGGCCGGCCCTGTTAATGGAAAATTA